TCTGAATTAAAGTTATCAGGAGAGGCAAATTTAACTGCATACAGAAAAAAGTTTCATCTTTCCCAATTTTCTAGGTACTAGTATCAATGTGGAATCTAAAGAAAATTATAGGAAGCTTTAGAAGTATACAGTACATCAACCAATCCCTAGTAAAACACACAAGACATGATTTATATGAATAAGGGTAACAATTTTTAAATTTAGTATATTACATAGTGTTTATACTCGCAACATAACCAAGTCAAGATGAAAACAAGAAATACAATACATAAAATCATTAGCCCAAGATGCTAAATTCACTTAATGAATTGCTTGCCACACTTTTTTGCACCCAGCTCAATTAATTATCTGTATATCACCAAGCCTGTACATCCTATACACTGGTGTAATGATGTTAAGAAGCCACCCCAGGGAGTAGAATCAGTATCTATTTTTTAATTATTGCCTTTAATATTAGCTGACATTTGATGCTAAATAATATGTAAATAAAGTCATTCTTCCTACAATTTGTTCATCCATAGAGTTTGTGAATTAAATATCAATAGGCACCCACACCAGGGACCAAACAACTAAACATCCGAAATCTTCAGATCAAAATTCTCACTTAATCCATTAAAAAAACAAACAAAAACACTTTGAACTTGAAGTGTCAATCAACATGGGCAGTTCTTTTTTTTGGGGGGGGGGGGGGGGTGGGGGGAGTGTTGTTTTGGGGTTTTTTTTTAAAAGCAGCAAAACTGAAGGAAGTGAATTCCCAAAGGATGCAAGGTCACACTGGTGCTGAGGTCTGCTTGGGGATGATAAGCTTATTTCCAACAGAACCATCTCTCTCCTTGTGTCTCAGTTGACAGAAGATGGTTTAGATAACATTTGCAGGCAAGAAACAGTTGCAAAATGAACATTCTGATAAGAAAATAGTATTCATTTTTAAGTAGAGTCTTATTACAAAATAACAAACAAACTTACCACTTCGCACAAGAAATATACACAACTTTGTACTAAATATGTCAAAAATGTAAGCCAGGAGGAAGACTCAAGATGTACATATAGAGGAGTTTCTGAACTTCTTGACATGTTACAAAACATGTCAATGAGTTGTGCCCTATCCTATAAAAGATACAATATGAAATCCAGAAATAGTGTTCAACTCATATACAGCCATCATATGATCAATACATTTTAAAAAGCTTCTTATTTATGAAATATCACTCCTCCTTATATTGCACTCCTCCTATTATCACAACTTTTATTAATGGATAACTTAAATACATGATCATATAGAAAAAGCCTTATGTTTACTGTATCACAAACACTGTCACACCCCATTTAATATCAACAACTTAAGTGATCTTTACTGGGAAAATTCACCTCTTAATGTCCCAATTAAAGGCTGATTTTCCTAGACTGATTCAGTCAGCAGACAATTACTGCTAAAATAATTTGCTTGCTGAACAGATATACATAAAGCTACTCAATAGATATATCTACATAAAAATGTATTTCTTTAAAATTGTAAGATACGCTCATAAGCCACTTAATCAGTGCCTGGGATTTTAGACCATCAATGAGCATGGATGGCCTATGACTTTAGTGCTCTGCATGTGATTAACCTTGCCATGAGTTCCTATCACATAATTTAACTTTTAGTACAAGCTTGTGAAAATCTTGGACCCTGCCCTATTAATAATTGTAGTAATAATAATAATAATAATAATAATAATAAATGTTCAGAGATTGGTGGAAGCTCAGATGTGGTTCCACAGATAGACAAGGCTTAAGCCCTTCCTGTTTCTTTGTGCAACATAGCCTGTCCTCCTCACATATCATTTTTTAAACACGGTATAATTTGAATTGCTTTTTTCATGTTAGGTTCTAAGCAAACAGCACAGCTGGACATTACACAAGTTCACAAAACAGTACACAAGAACAGTATAAACCCTAACTTTCCAAACTTAGAGCCACAGCACCACCTATCATGAGGCAACCAGAACCTGAGTCAGCATGTTGTGTGGCCATACTGGGCAAAATACACATTCAGACCAAAACATTTTTACTGCTTACCTGCAAGCTATGGACCACTGCATGTGCCACAAATTGGTATGCAACTCCTGCAACAGAGTTTACCATACCAAAACAGGCTTCTATAAATCTTATGCATGCCTTGCATTACTAGGATTGGCTGTAGTTTATTACTGCAGACATTTCCTGTTTAACTACAATTCAAAACAATGGACATATCTTAGTATCAGGAAATACAAACACAACAGTCATCCACTTCAATTAAGAGTTTTGTCCCCTGTTGTCAAAGCTAAATTTTAGTCTACTGTTAGACGAGGTTCTTTGGGTAAATCTGACATCTTTTATTAGACCAACTTAAATAGATGGAAACATTTTTTTTAGCAAGCTTTTGGGTTTAAAAACCCTTTGTCAGGCTAAGGAAGTTTCTGCAGTTGATGTGTGCTCTTCCTGGCTGGAATGAATAGTAAAGAAGCCATAACTGGGCTGGTATGCATGCAAGACAGGCAGTCAGTAAAGATGTAAAATGCAGAGTCGGGGGTGGGGGGGGGCGGGGAGATAAGGGGGATGAATGTAGCGGTTAAATAGTGCAGAGATACCTGGGGAGTCTATTGCAAGAGAACATATGAACCAACTACCTATCCCTTGGACAATAATAAGCTTTAGTAAAGTCTACCTTCCTAGAAACCCAAATATCTCTGATCATTACCTGTCTATACTTAGAGGATCAAGCGTGATCTCAAAGCTCTGACTGTAGTCAGCAGTAAAACCACTTACAGAGTCAGGATCCATTCCTGAGATGGTCAATTAAGAACATCAATTTTGCATTCTTGCAAGCATTTCTACCACCAATAAAATGAAGAGAAAGCAACTCTAATATAATTTGAACTGTCAGCTGAAACTGTTAAGAAAAGCATAACCTAGAACTATTAAAAGTGTTTCATTTATAATTAGATCTTGAGTCACCTTGACCTTTCCTCATACAGAGCAAAGTGCCCCTGTCAACGAACAGCAGCATCTGCATCCTCATTCCATTTTAATCAGAGCTCAATTTGGATTTCTATGTCTCGGCAATCAGTGTGTTGCAGAGCAAGGAAACTGCAGAAATAAATGAGATGTTGCCTTGTTCCAGCTGATTAAAACATGATTCAAGGTGACTTTTAGGTGACAACACAAGTTGTCAGAACAGCAATGTACTTTACTTTATGGGGAAAAATGTGTGAGAGATGTTTGTTTCCCCTATCTGAGGTAAGTGACAAGAGTTGAAATCAGAGCGCTGGTTTGTCCATGAAAATATATAAATGTTTAAAGAATCCTATTATTAGGCACAGTGGAAAGAACATCTTGGATAAGCCTCCCATACTGTGGGTAATTATCACAAGCCAGAATGCTAATTGCTTTTCGATCTGCAGGCTGTGCCTCCGATAAGTCTCACTGAAGGCTACTGTGGCTGTACCGTGCACTACTACTTAATGAGACTGACTTTTATCAGAGTACAGTATCAGCTAATACTAAGTGGAGAGCCAACATTAGATCAGAAGCAACATGTTCTTAAAGTCTGCAAAAGCACAAAATAAGAAAGCAAGTAAAACTGAGAACTGTATTCCTTGTACATCTATCATGATGGAATTATATCCTAGTTCAATTACTGGGATATAAATGCATTCAGTATATTAGTAGCCATCCATTAAGTGGTATGATATATATTATATACTACTGATTGGCTGCCTGAAATTAGTCTGGAGAACTACCTAGATACAGATCTTAGTTCTAGAGTATGAGTTATAAGGGAGGGGAACATTGCACCCCAGTTTACTGTAAGGCAAATAAATAAATAAAATAATCTATGGAGAATCTGTCCTCAGCGTGAGGTTCTCAAAACAATTTCATGAACATTTTTATTAAACTTGGTTACCTGAGCTGGTCAAAGAGTGTGTGTGCATGCATGTGTAAGCTCATGCTCATGTGTTATATAGGAGGGTACAAGGGGCAGGGGAGGGAAGACCTTGATCGGAATACTTCTACTTTTTAAGCAAACCTTCATCCAGAAATTATATTTTGTTCTTTGACATTATGGTCCTGAATACTAAAAATGTGGCTCACCATGATGTGCCAGGAACCTTAGACCAAAAGTGCAAGACGGGGGCCTGAAGTAAGTTCAGGTCCTAAGACATACAGCAGTAGTATTTCCAAGGCAATGATTTCCATGCTTTGAGTTATATTTTTCAGTTTGAATATATTTTTTTCATTTTCCAAACCCCAACTGAAAAAAGTTAATTTTCTGTAGGCGTCAGAAAGTTCTCATTAAAACTTAAACAATAACCTGAGTTTCATCAAACACAGACACTGTATGCATCAAAACTACCAGTCTGATTCTCAATACTAGTGTGAAAAATTGCCACATTGAAAAAAGCTCATATGGAACGGGGACGGGGAGCAATGCAGACACATATCATTAAATTGCTTAGCCTACCTAGTTTTGTGTAGCATGCTTGTGAAAAAACTAAGAATAGAACCCAGATTACAATAGACTTGGGAGTTTACCAAACAAAACTATATACTTCTCTGGCAAATGTTAAACCCTCAACAAAAGAAAATCAAACACTAAGAGGTAACATGACTTTTGAAGTTAAAATTGCACAGGAGAAATGCTTATTCTTGAGATTAAATATCCCACACTATCCAGAAAGACTCGGAGTGTAGAAAAACATACAAACCACCCACAGACTCCCCCACAGACACTCTAAAGTTTTAAAACTTCCCCCTCCCCATTATTCTCTTTCATCGTATTTGGCTTTGGATGGATACAATGATTGTACCAGAAGCTGAAAGCTGTATCCATAGCCTTGCAGGAATATGGCCTTCTTATACAGTGTAAAATGTTAATATTGTAACAGTTAACAGGATTAGGGCCAACGTGTTAAAGATCTCAACAGTTATAGCACCATAAAGAATCTGCCTGGGTTGTAGAGACAGAAGCAAACCTGAGCAGAAGAGAGGGACTGGACTGTCAGTTAGGTCCAAAGGTACGATGCAATTTGTTTGACTTTATTCCTCTCTAAGTGAAAAGGTGTCACCATTCCTCTAATTTTTTTTCCCATTCCTGAATTACCCTGAATAAAAGAAAAGAAGAGAAGAGAGAAAAGGAGAGAAAAGCAAAATAATTTTAAAGTTTGTTTCAGTTCTGTTCATCACTTTGAATATTTTTTTTTACTAGACCCTAATCTTAACTTCTCATGTAAAAAAGGCTCTAACTTTCATTCTAATGAATAATTTTTAACACCTGAAATCACATTCACCTTACTTCCCTTCATCTCCAGGGCAATAGTATCCTTCTTCTGAAAAAGGTGACCTACTTCTCTTCACATGCAGTATTAAGATATGAGCTAACACTTGGCTTGTACAATAACTGTATTCCTTTTATTTTTCTCCCCCTCTCACTGCTCTCCTTCAGTGTAGTTCATTTGCCTTTAAAATCCCTGTCCTGATATTTTTGTCTGTTTTCTGAGCAACTGAGCTCCTGACTATTAGATTTCATATAAAGTATTAAACCCAATATGATTATGTTGCCTACAAAGGACCAACTCACAGGATCATCATACATTCTAGTTTATTAGACAGGATGTGAATTTCTAATAAAATTATAAATGCAAATTCCAGGGGGTTACAATAGGTACTAGTCATGTTAACACACACTGACACACATTCACATAATTGCTGCAATAGTAGTGTAGCACCAATGTTGGTTTATACCTATCCAGGGTGCTGGAGTCTGTTGTCCATAGTCAGCTTCCCCCAGGGCAATGTCTTCTCCAGAAGAAGGTCACCTGCTTGTCCTTCTGGTCTCGGTAGGTCAGGTGCTGAATGAGAGGGCGACCCTGAGGTTTATGCTTCACTGTCTCATATCCCTTTCTGGCAAACATGTGAGATCCCCCAGCATCATCTTGGCTGCCCAATCTGGAGGTTGCTGTCCCACAGAGTTCTTGAGTAGTACACGACCACTGTCAGTCACAGAGGTATCCATCCACCTGCTGGTACGTGGAGTTTCGGGAGTCAGTTTATGATTTTGATTAATTTAACAGTGGTATTGTTAAGGGTTCCAGGAGCAGTCTGTGGGGGGACATCCAGTCCCAGAAACCAGTCTCCAGCATTGATTAGCTTAAACTGGATACCTTGTTGCACGCACAATGGAGTTCCAGGCAATGGCACTGATCCTTCCTTGCTGACCGTCTGTGGTAGATGGTGTTAATTACCACTCACTAACTTGTAACCGCAGCTGGCTCTGCCTCTTAAATCGCCTACTCATATTTGCCCTCATTCATTCAGGAAACCAGCCCAAATACAGCAATGAAATTCCAGTGATTACTATTCCGATGCATTCTTATAATAGTTCTAGTAATACAATGTATGACTTTACTTTAAAAAAATACATTTGTTAAAAGTTAAAAGGTATAAAATACAAAATACAGAATGCCAGGGTAAAGATGAGACAGATTAAATATAAAAATGCAATGTGAGGTAGTGAGGATCAAAGGCCACTGGGGACAGTGAGTTAGGTTAGATGCAGCAGACTGATTTAGCATAAACTTTAGATAGATATGGGAAGTTCTCTTTGGGAAATAGGTTTTAATTAAAGCGGAAATGTGTTCAGAAGGATATATTTACAGTCATGCTTTCTATACACCTTGGCTTTTCTTGTCTCTTACAGGCTTTGCTTTGAAGTGGATATTTTAGTTCTTTTCTTTTCTGTGGTGACACTTAGCTCAAGTGATATGTAGATGTAGTTTCTAGGTTTCTCCTATGGAAAGCCACTTCAGCTTTTTGGTTTGCTCTGAGCCTTGCCACACCCACGCAATGGGTGTGCTAGGTCTCTGCCAATACTTAGAAGAAAAAAGAAAATGTGCAAATGGGGTGGAAGGGGTGCAGGCAAGAAAGGACTTCTTGTTACAATAGATATGTCTCAATGGCAACAACATTTTTCTCCAAATTCTCTATACACTAGGTGGGCGTAAATGTTTCATTTCATACCTCATTTACCACTGGGGCTCCAAAAATACTGTAAATGAAAAATGAAAAAAATTGCACTTGCAAGGGATGCATGACTGAGATTATATATTATTGTAGCTCTTTCCTTTCTCTCATCTCTGTAAGCAATATATTGCTTGAGTCAGGTGACAAGTGGGGTTGTGCGGGGACAGAAAGAGATAGCTCAAAGAGGAAATACAACCATATGGTAGCACTCTATGGCTACTATTATCTCATTAAAAAAAGAATCTGACAAACTAAGTGGGATTTTAGTGTGGGGTCATATGGAGTCAAAGGAACAATTCCTACCTATACTCAAAAAAGTTGCTCTCCGATACAAACAATTTAAATAAAACCTAGATGCTGTTAAAGCATCATAAAAACTTCAAGTGCCTGCTTATTGCTATGTGAAAGGTTAATAATGGCAATATAGCTAGAAAGATGGCTAAGAGGTGTGTGATGGGATGCAGAGATGGAAAGAGAGCTTGTAAGCAGATGGATGCACAGGATATCTTTAAAACAGAGCAAGGATAAAAAGCATGGCAAGTGCCACATGGAATACAACCCCACAAGAGACTTGGGCCATATTTGTATGGCTTCCCTCTTGACCCCAGGTCTTCCATCAGTAAAATGATTCCTCACTACCTCTTCCTGCTGGGAAAGAGGCAAAATGAATTCCAGCATTTAACCAGAAATGATTGCTTACAGCAGTGATTCTCAGCCAGGCACCCTGAGGTGCCTTAAGAAACTTCCAGGTGATGTGGGGTGCCATGCAATGTTAGCACTGTTAAGTGTGCAAACAATTTACACAAATCCAGGGATTTCAGACTCTGTAGTGTTAAACATATTTGACCTGCTGTGGTATTTTTAAGCTCTTCACAATAGAAGATTTTTTTTACTATAAAAAAACCCAACCCCAGAGCAGAGTGAAAACAAAGAGCTAACATGTTCCAAGGGAGAGGCAGGGGGGCTTGAATCTAAGAAGGTTGGGGATCACTGGTTTAGAGTAACACTATACTATAGAACCCAGGGCTAAGCACACATCTGTCAAAGAAAGCTGTGATGGAGGGATACTCATTCATCTATTTTGACTATTCCAGGCTTTGGTGATTGCAAGTGGGTCAGGGCAGGGTGGTCACAGAAGGATGGAGCTGGCTTGAGTGCCATACTGTCTCTCACTGCAGCTACTGGAGGTAAAAATATGGGGAATGAGGGCAGACAAGTTTCCTTGGGTGAATTTGATATCTTTTATTAGATCAACCCAAATAGTTGGAGAATAGTTATTAAGCAAGCTTTTGAGTTCAAAAACCCTTTGTCAGGCTAAGGAAGTTTCAGCGGTTGGTGTGTGCTCTTCCTGGATGGAATGAAAAGTAAAGAAGCCAGGGGCTGGGCTGGGCTGGGGAGTCAGTTGCCAGGCAGATTATAATGTATCAAAAATCTGATGTCTATGTTTAGTCCATGATCTCTAGTATCCAGGAGGTTGATGAAATGGAGCTCATAGGCTCGTCTCTGGGAAGTGTTGTGTAAGTTTCCCTTGAGGATCAGAACTGAGAAATTAGAGAGAGAGAAAGAGTGGCCCTCCTGTGAGAAGTGTGCCCCCACCGGTAATTGGGTATTTCTGTCTTTGATCGATTTCCAGTGTGCGTTCCGGTGGGGAATGAGGGCACACTTTTGAAATCTTGGAAAGAGAGATGACCTACCAAGGCATAGTCCCATGAAATAATTAGTTTTCAAAGGTGACATCAAACCAATGTCTTTGTTATTCCTATAGGGTAATATTCACTTGTATCTTGGTGGACGCAAACTTCAGAACTCTAAAAATAAAGTATCGTGATAAAAAGGGAGGCTAGACTATTAGGCACCCTCTACATGTTGCAGGTCTTACAGTAACTGGTTTATTGCACAATTACCTTGAGACCAGCTACACCTGCAAAATATTGATGTGGCAGCCTTGCTGGTAGCAGCCCGGTTCACTGGCTTGAGCAGGAAGGCTCAGACTGATTGGTGGGAGCATTTCCCTTACCCACCAATCAGGTAAGGGAAGGGGTGGGGTGGGGTGAAGGAAAGAACCTGAGGGGTAACTAGCACCTCAAGAGTTCCTATTGGTCTGCTCCCAATCCAGGGGTGGAGACTTCTAAAGGAATAAAAAGGCAGTGTGCCCAGCACACATGTGGGTTCAACATAGGACAATGAAGAGGGCTGACAAAGAGCTGGTGTAGCTTACCAGTGGGGCAGAGCAGTTGGCCCAGAAGTACTCAGAAAAAATCTGCACCAGATGGGAGCAGCAGAAAGCAGTGTGATGACAATGCACAGGTCGGTGCACGGAGAGTCCGGGAGCAGACGGGACCACGGCAGCTGCACGAGGAAGCATAAATCCCCAACCCTGCATGGAGCAGGGGTAGAAGTACTCGGTGAATGGACTGGTGCACAGGGCACAGAGGATCTGGGAGTGGATGGGACCCTAGCAGCTGCGCAAGACAGCTTGGGTCTCCAACACTGCGTGAGGCAGGAGCTGAGTCCCATTCAGTGCATGGGGCTGATAGAGCTGAACAGGTCTGCAGCAAATGCACAAGGGAGCGTGGATCTCCAACCCTGCACAAGGCAGAAGCAGGGCTATCAGTACATGGAGCACGATACAGGGCCATAGAGCAGATGGGACCACAGTAGATGCACGAGGCAGGAGCAGAGCCATTGGTGCATGGAACGGTGCACAAGGCCATAGAGCAGATGGGATGCCAAAGGCTGCCCTAGGCAGCTTAGGCTTCCACCCCAACCTGCGTGGGGCAGGTGGCCTTTTGGTGCAGAGGGCAGAGAGCGGGCTGAAAGGTTGGGAGAGCTGCACAAGGCAGCTGGGGCCTTCCTGAAGAAAAAGGGGACGCCTCGCCCCTCTAACACACACTGCTGGAGATGCGTCTAACCCCCTCAAGCCCACAGGAGTCATCCAGGAAGGGGATTCCCACAGGGGAGGAGGCCCCCCCCCATTCCATGGGCAACTGAGGGGAAGCCCCTGATGGGAGGGGACAATTCACCCTGGGGCATAGAAAGGGACCCAGGGCTTCTGCTTGTCAGGGGAGTTCCTGGGTTAAGG